ATTTTAAAATTAATTTGATCTGAATTTTAAAAGTTCATAATAAAATCAAAATTTTTTATATATTCATTGTTTTTCTTAATTAAGAAAATTTATTTTTTGTATATTTTTTGTATATTGTAATATATATAATAATTATATATATATATATTTCTCAATTTGATATACTTCTATTATTAACAGAATAATTTTTTTTTTATAAAATTTTATGATATATTTATAAGTTATATTGAAATATATAAACTATTATATTATAAATTTTTAATACATATTTACAAACTTACCATAAATTTTGAGTAATATATATGTGAAAAGACTAAAAGATACACCTATAAGTGCTATTCCAATATGTCCTCTCCACTCTCCTGTTGGGGCTAAAAATTCACTAAATGTTTGACGAAAACTAGCTCGATATAATATTTTTTTTTCTTCTATTGATAATTTCTTCCAATCACCTTTCTCTTTTTCTCGTAATGCCTACATAAAAATATTAAAATAATTAGCTTAATCTTACATAATATCATCTACATAAAATATGTAATATTTTAAAGAAATTTTACAATATAATAATATATCCAAAATATAAATTAAAAAGAAAAAATTAAGATATTAATATATCTAAATATTACATTAATGTAAATAAATATTTAAAAATATTTTATAAATAATGTTTAAAAAATTATAAAAATAAATTAAAAATATTATTTATTTTACCATTATATCTGGAGTATTTGCTTTGAAACGAATTGCAGGCAGAGGAAAATCACTTCGGTCTAAGTAAGCTTCTTCACCATTCCATCCATTACCTACTACATCTCTATTACCAATTTTGTTAGGAAATTCTGGCATTGCTGATAATCCACGAACACACATTGAAGTATTTTGTCGTAGATATGATAGCAATAATTTATTTGCCATTGTATGCTAAAAATATATAAATTAAATTAAAATAAAAAATGAATATGTATAATTTTATTATATTTATGTTCTACAATATTGAGATGAATTTTTCCTTATTAATATGAGCTTTTCAAAAATTAAATTTAAAATAATTAATTAATATTAAGAAATATTGATATTTATAAAAATTATGATTTTCTTTTATAATGATAGTATGATTTTTATCAGCTTACAAAATATATAATAATTTTTTTAAAATAATAATTAATAATTAAATTTTTTATTAAAATCATGATTTTATTTATTAATATATATATATATAAAAAATATTGTAACAAAATATTAGATTAAATTTTTAATTTGAGAAAATATAAATTTTATTATATATATAAATATATCAAAAAATATATAACACAAATATTAATAACTAAAAATTTTAGAATTTTTAATATGTTATATATTAATCACTGTATTCAATAGTTATCTAATAGAGTAAATTTCATAAAAAGAATTTAATTAATAAAATGAAATATATTTATTTTTACTATAGTTAATAGTTTATTAATAGTATATTAATAATATAATTTTTCTTCTCATTAATACTAATAATTAGTAATGATGTCT